GCTGGGGCGCAGCCCGCTGCTTTCCGCCGGCCCGGCCGCGCCGCCCGAGCTCACCCCGTAGCGTCCCTGCGGCCGGGTTCAATACTAGACCACTTAGTAAGTAAGTAAAGACGGGGCCTGGCTAATTTGCCCAGGCTGGCCTAGAACCTGAAATTCTGCCCCTTAGGCTGGGCCGCCCTAGAATCCCTCTTTACTACCTCGAGCTGTCTCCACGTTGTGTGACCTTCCTGCAAGGAGGAGAATGCCAGAGATGTTTAGGTCAGGGAGAGTACGATACGACTGACCAAAATGTGGTTTCTATATCGACATTGCCTAACTTAGCATTTACATCCGGTTTCTCGGTGAGAATCACCACAGAGAGCAACCAGGTTCTTGGATAAAGGGGAGGGTGGTTTTACCACAGCAGCAGCTCTTTAGTTTGGTCAGACCCAAGGGAAATGGTCATGTTGTGAGTTTTGTCATCAGCGGTTAAGAACCTAGTGGACTCTGTAGCTGTCGAGTTAAATGCTGTTAATGTCCTCTCACCCTTGACTTATTCTCTTTTTTTTTTTGGTCTTTTTGAGACAGGGTCTCGCTGTGCAGTTCAGGCGGACCTTGCGCTCACTTTGTAGCCCAGGCTGGCCTCGAACTTGCCACGATCCTCCTTGCCTCTGCCTCCCGAGTGCTGGGATTACAGGCGTGCGCCACCAGGCCTGGCTGATTTACTCTTATAATAATTGTAATTTTCAACATCATTCCGTATTGAAACTTTCAGTATAGCTCCTGTATCAGTCCCTGGCAATCCCCATTCTATTTTATGTTTTTAAGAGTTGGACTCTAGATAGATATCCCATGTAAATGAAATAATGTATTTGTTCTTCCTTGACTGCTTGTTTCACTTAGCATAACTTCCTCAAGATGCATGCATGTTAAAAAAAAAAAAAAAAAAGATTCATGCATGTTGTTGCAGATAGCAGATATTCTTCTTTTTAAGGCTGAATAATACAATGTTGTATGCATTTCCATATTTTTTCACTTGCCATGCTGTGGATAAACCTAGAGTGTGACCCATACCAAGGGAAGTGTTTTCTACCACTGGGCTGTACCATATACCTGTTTCCATGTTTTGTTTATCCATTAATCTGTGGATGGACCTCTGGGTTGTTTCTGTTTCTTGGCTCTTGTGAACAGTGCTTCCATGAATACATGTGTGTATTTTTGCCTACTTTTTGTGTGAGTTTTGTGGGATGTTGAACCCAGAGCCTCACATAAACTAGGTAAGCACTCCACCACTAAGCTAAGCTACATCCTCAAGCCTTTTCTTTTATTTTCCTCTTTTCTTTTTTCTTCTCCTGTTTTTTTTTGTTTTGTTTTGTTTTTTTGAGGCAGGGTCTCCCCGTGTTTTTTGGGCAGGCCTCAAATTTACAGCAATCCTCCAGCCTCAGCCTCCCAAGTGCTGAGATTACAGATGTGCTCTCCTATGGCTCACTCTCTTGTCTTCTCTTCCCCTTCCTCTTCCTCCCAGTGTGGTGCATTGAGCTTAGGGCCTTTATACGTCTTCAGCCCTTTTTTATTCTTTATTTTAGACATAACCTTACTAAGTTGCTAAATTACCCAGGCTAGATCCTCCTATCTCAGCCTCCCAAACTGCTGTGATTACAGGCATGTACCACTGTACATGGCTTTTTTTGTTGTTGTTCTTTTTGAGGCAGCGTCTTGCTATGTAGTTCAGACTGGCTTGAACTCACTATGTAGCCTAGCCTGGCCTCAAACTCAAAGTAATCCTCCTGTCTCAACCTCCCAATTGTTGGGATTACAGGCATGCCCCACCATGCCGAGCCCGGCTATTTATTTTTTACTGTGACACAAGCTCTTGCTCAATTACCCAAGCTAGTGTCAAACTTTTGATCCTCCTGCCTTGGCCTCCTGAGTTGCAGGGAGTATAAGTCATGCAGCACCTTGCCTGGCATTTGCTTTTTAGTTTGGCTTCTTTTACTTAAATATTTGTTACAGGCCTGTGTTTTTAAAAAAAAAAATCAAGATTTTGTGTTTTAAAAAATTATATCAGGAGCAGTAGTTGACATTTATTACAGGTGTAGTGGCACATGTCTGTAATCCCAACATTCAGGAAGCTGAGGCCAGCCTGAGCTACATAGTTAGTTGAAGGCCATCTTTAACTATCTGGTAAGACCCAGTCTCAAAAAAACCCTAAACTTATTGTGTGTACTGCTCTACTTAGACTAATATCAGAATCTCTACTTAGACTAATATCAGAGTCTGTGTTTTTGAGCTGGGTGTCGTGGTGAGCCTGTGGTCCCAGCTTTTTCATATTCTATTATATAGGCTATTTTCCCAGTGTATGTATTGCAAATATCATCGCACTTTGTCATATATATTTAAAATTTGTTTTATGAGGTTTTCTAATTTGTACAGTTCTTGTGTATGTAAGCTAGTCAGATTTTGTATTAATGCTGACTTTAGTAACATGCTTAGAAAGTCTTTTCAAAATTATAAAATTTTTTTCATTTTCATTTTTTCCTGCACATAGTTTAGATTTACATTTGAACATATTGTCTGATTTTTGTTTAAATATAAGGACTTACCATGTGCAAGGCCCTGGGTTTAATACCCAACACCAAAAAAAAAAAAAGTTGGGAAGTGTTTTATTTTCTTTCAGTGTGCGCTAATTTAGGAGTCCTCATGGAGTAATCAATCCTTTCCCACATTTATATGAAATTTCTAACTTTATCATAAATTTATGTACTTCTATCCCACGCTCCTAAATAAAACCTCAAAGCTGGGTGTGATGGCCGGTGCTTCAATCCGTGGACTCTGGAGGATCACAAGTTCAAGCCCAACCTGGGCAATTTTTAGTGTTCTGTTTTGTATTTTTGGTGCTGGAAATTGAACCTAGGACTTTACACATACTAGGCAAGTGACCTACCATTAAGCTGCATCTCCACCCCAACCTGGGCAATTTAGTAACTTAGTAAGACCCAGTCTCCAAAATAAAAATATAAGAAAAGAAGTAGGGATGTAGCTCAGTTAGAAGGCCCTGGGTTCAGTCCTCAGTAATGCAAACAAACACAAAATGAAAAAGCTTCATGAATCATTGTGCTTTTTAAAAAAATATCCTAATAGAGTCAGTTTTCAATGACTATAGACATTTAGTTAGAGAGTTCTCTGTGTATGTTCATAAATAAGAAGAATAATTATTAGATTCTGTCTGCTTTGGGCAACAGTTACTCAATAAACTAAAATGCTTCTCTGCTTTTTTGATCTAAACTTAGGTTAGTATTTAACAAACATATATATTCTTTGTGTTTTTCCAGTCAAGGAGATAGGGTGTCATTCATTAAGAGATAATTAAGGTCTGCAGGGCATCTGTGAGGATAATATTGATAACATTTCTTTCAAGCTGCTTGAACTGCAAGAGTAGAGGACAGCCACCTTTTGCTATAAGGTAGACTCTCTCTTAAAGAGATACTTTGATAACTGGGGCAATAACAGTGAAATTCTTAGGAAATACTGAAACTGGAACTCTAAAGATTATTGGCTCTTAGGGACTCTGTATTTAAGAAAGCATTACTAGGCACAAATGTTCTGAGACTAGTGTTTAGGATTTGAGAATAATTTGTTCTTTTTGAGGAGTCTAAT